ACAAAGTCCTTATTGAGACAAGGGACAAGAAGAAAGCTATGCCAAGATCGTTAGGAAGATCAGACCGCAGGGGCCCAACGAATTTCTCCTTTCGAGCCCAGAGGTCGCCCTTTCATTTTAACAGGGAGGGCAGATGACCTTCCTGGGGACCATCCAGACAATCCTTCAGAAGAGGTTCATTCTTCAACAGAACAGGCAGATCTTTCCCTCCCAGAGAGGACAAATCTGGCAGAGACTTCAAAAATACCAAGGCATGACTATCGTCATGCTCCTGTAGGGGGTCAGCTCCTTCTTTTCCATCAGGCCTGGGCCGACTCAGCGGCAGACGCGTGGTCGCAGGAAATCACGCACAAAGGGTACTCCATAGAGTTTCTCGTCAGGCCCCCGGATCGCCTTCTTATCTCTCCACAAATAAAAGACGATGCCAAATTATCAAGAACTCTAGAGGCCATACATCACTTGCTCAACATTCAAGCAATCGAACCTGTACCTGCAGAAGAGCGGGGTCACGGAGTCTACTCCATCTTCTTCACAGTACCCAAAAGAAATGGCAGTTGGAGGGCGATCCTAGATTTAAAATTCCTAAACAGACATGTGTGGCTGAAACGCTTTCGAATGGAGACCCTTCAATCCATAACAGAATCACTCCACCCAGAAGAATTCATGACATCCATCGACCTTACCGAAGCGTATTTACATGTACCAATTTTCAAGGGTCACAGACGTTTCCTGCAATTTTGTGTCCAGAGTCAGCACTGGCAATTCAGAGCTCTCCCCTTCGGGTTATCAACGGCCCCGAGAGTCTTCTCCAAAATGCTGATCCATCCTATCGTTCGTCTGAGGGAGAAGGGAATACACGTCCATCCGTACCTGGACGACCTCTTGATCCGTTCTCCTTCCCACGCCAAATTGATAGTAGACACCGAAACAACGATCCACTGTTTACAAGCCCACGGTTTCCTGGTAAACCTACAGAAGAGCTGCTTAATCCCATCCCAGTCGATAGAACACCTGGGAGGCATCCTGGACACCTCACGCAACTCGGTATTCCTGCCGACCCAAGGTGGAGAAAATCAGAAATCTCTGCAAACAGATTCTCAAAAGCAGACTATCTACTCTAATGACCCTAGCAAAGCTGATGGGTCTATTCATTTCTTGTATAGACACTGTCCAGTGGGCTCGTCTTCATGCACGGCTGCTTCAACAGTTCCTGAGACCATTTCAACTCAGAATTATGAATCGCCACGACATTTCCCTATCATTACCATCGAAGGTGAAACACAGTCTCTTATGGTGGACCAATATTCGCCACCTTCTCCGAGGACGTGTCTTCTACGTGACAGAATGGGAACAAATTTACACAGACGCCAGCCTCCAAGGTTGGGGTGCAGTTTACCACAATCAACCTACCCAGGGCACATGGTCCATGGAGGAGAGCAGATTGCCGATAAACGTCCTAGAACTGAGAGCAATCAGACTGGCCCTGTTACATTTTCAAGCCCAGCTAAAAGATCACCACGTCCTGATCAGGACCGACAACATTGCAGCCAAATCTCACATAAATCATCAGGGAGGCTCATGATCACCTCGTCTACGACAGGAGGCAGCCTTTTTCTCTGGGCGGAGTCCAATCTAGCTTCCATCCGAGCAGATCACATAAAGGGAACCCTGAACTCTCAGGCAGACTGGCTCAGCCGGTTCCATCTTCAAGAAGCAGAGTGGTCACTAAAAAGGGATCTGTTCCTCCTCATAGTGAACTCATTCGGAAAGCCAGACGTAGATCTATTCGCCTCGACACGCAACTTCCAGCTACCACGATTTTTCACCAGGTTCCACCATCCCATGGCAGAGGGAACGGACACGCTAACATCCAGTTGGCCCCCGGGATTGATGTTTGCCTACCCTCCAACTCCAATCATTCCCAGGTTACTGAGAAAGATATGGGAACACAGAGCGGAAATCATCTTAGTGGCTCCTCACTGGCCCAGGAGACCGTGGTTCTCAGAAATTCAAGTCCTAGCGGTCCTGCCTCCCCTCAGACTCCCTGTATCTCCGGACATGCTTTCTCAGGGTCCGATCTGGCACCTGGATCCCGAATGGCTTCAATTGACCGCGTGGAGATTAAGAGGGGTAAACTTCTCCAACTAGGTAATCCAGAGAAGGTGACTGACACTATTTTGGCATCCAGAAAACAGTCCACCTGCAGGATATATAACACCACTTGGAAGGCTCTCGTCCTATTCCTTGGAAGTCCATTGATCCTATTCAGCCTCTCTTCAAGGACGTCCTATCCTTCCTGCAGGATGGCCACGACTCCGGACTGAAATCATCGACTTTTAGAAGACAAGTAGCGTCACTTTCTACAGTGTTACCTCCGGTTAAAGGTTGGTCTATCTCAAGACATCCACATGTCAAAAGATTTTTGCGGGGAGCATCACTTCAAGATCCTCCAGTGTCTCACAGGTTTCCCTCCTGGAGATTGAATGTGGTCCTTAATGCTCTGACCAAGCCTCCCTTCGAACCACTCAAAGAAATTCCCTTGCGATGGCTTAGAATGAAGACTCTCTTTGTAATAACCGTCACGTCGGCACGCAGAGTTTCAGAACTAGGAGCACTGTCTGCGGACCCTTGTTTATGTGTCTTCCATAAGGACAAAGTGGTTCTGACCCCAGATCCCACCTTCCGACCAAAGGTTAATTCCAAATTCCATCGATCTCAGGAAATCTGTCTTCCGTCCTTTTGCCCAAAGCCTACTCATCCACAGGAAAGGATCTGGCACACCTTAGACGTCCATAGGGTGCTGAAAGTTTTCCTGCATCGCACCAGAGCCTTCCGGAAGTCTGAATCCCTGTTTATTTCTATTTCACCTCCTAACAAGGGAGGCAAGATGTCTACGTCGTCCATCAGCGTCACACTTAAAGACTGAATCGTGGAAGCATATAGGGCACAAAAAATGGTGCCTCCTTCAGACATTACAGCTCACTCCGTTAGAAGCGTGGCAACTCAGTAGAAGAAATTTGCAAAGCCGCCACGTGGTCCTCATTGTCTACTTTTATTCGTCATTACAAGATAAACGTCTTCGACTCAGCGGATGCTGCGTTCGGCCGAAGAGTACTACAGGAAATTTTGACACACAAAGACGATGACCCTCCCAAATAAACTGGACACTGCTATAGGAGGTCCCAACAAGATGTCCTTCGCTCAGTGGGAGAACGGACAATTGGTACTTACCGTGAAGGTAACTCCACTGAGTTAAGGAGGACATCTTGGGCCCTCCCTTCTCATCGTCTCATTGCTACTCTACTATAACTCTTTTTATTCTATTTTTGGCTTGAGGTAGCTCTTCCTGTCCGCACCTATCCTTATCTGTTGTTAACTGTTGACCTTCTGGATCTTGCTGTTACCCCGAGTTAATATAGTTAATAATATTACTGGTTCTAGTATGTTTTTCAAGGTTACTGCTTGTTGGGAGTCCCGAAACTGGAACTAAGGAGCAAGGCCACCTAGAGGGCAGGAAGTGAAGTTTGGTTCCTGCCTCCCTAAGGAAGGGGTTGGAAACACCCAACAAGATGTCCTCCTTAACTCAGTGGAGAAGGACCCTTCACGGTAAGTACCAATTGTCCGTTCTTTTAATTCTGTAAACTGCCTTGAGTCTCAGGGAGAAAGAAAGAAATGAAGTAAAAAACAGGCTGGACTCTAATCTGGGAGAACCTGGTTCGAGTCCGCACTCCTCCACTTGCAGCTGCTGGATAACCCTGGGCAAGCCGTAGTTCTCTCAGAGCTGTTCGCTTCAGCGAAAAGCAGGCCTGGAAGGCTTAGAGTTCAAATTTAGACTGGGTTGGATGAGGAGGCAAAGGCAGACGCCGCTGGCAGGTGGGCACACTTTGGTGAGCAGCCCAATCCTGGCGCATGGTGCCCCATAAATCAGTGGGACTTTCTCTGAAGGCCTTAACTTGGAGGTGGCATTAAACCATGCACCCTTGAAGCTGCCTAACACTGGAGTAGGCCATAAGTCCGCCAAGGTCAGCATTGTCTACTCAGACTGGCAGCGGCTCTCCGGGGTCTCAGGCGGAGGTCCTTTCCCATCGCTGCATGAGACTCACGAAAGCTCCTCCCCTGCCGCATATTTGGTTAGTCTTTAAGGTGCTCCTGGACTCTTGCTCTTTTCTACTGCCTGGCTGAGGCCTTTCACATCCTTTATTAGCTGTTCCTTCCAACTGAAAACGCTGCCAAGAACTGGACCTTCTGCATGCCAAGCAGATGCTCCACCAGCCAGCCCCTGGCCTCTCCCAAAGTACACACGCGAAGCGGCCTGACACGGAATCAGAGGCCCCTTGGTCCATCGAGGTCAGGATTGCCCACTCAGACTGGCAGCCGCTCTCCAGGGTCTCGGGCTGAGGTCTTTCCCCGTCATTTATTAGCCCCTTCCCCGCACCGGCGGCCACGGGGCTTCTCCCTCCTCCTCGGCGCGGGCAGGCGGGGGAGGAATAGCGGGGGCGCCTCCCACGCCCACCCCCCCCCGGGACCCCGAGCCGCGCAACGGGCCGTCCGTCCGCGGCCGCTCCGGGCTCCGCCGGCCAGATC